GGGCCGTGAGTGCAGCGGGCAGGCAGGGGCTCGGCAGAGCTGCCAGAAAACCTTCCCCTGGGACCCTGAAGGGCCAAATGGTCCATCAAAGCCCAGCAGGGAGAGACGTGCCAACCTACCGATGCAGCGGAGCTGGCTGGGGTCCAACATGTAGCCAGGGTGGCACAAGCAGCTGTATCCCTCTGGGGTGAGCATGCAAGTGCCAGCTCCACAGGAGAGGGATGAAGAGGCACAGGCACCAACGCCTGGAAGGAGAGAGCACGGGATTGAAGGCAGCACTGATAGGGCGCAGGGAGCCTAATATCTGTCTTGTGTCCCCAGCACCATGCTGGGGAGGCTGCTTTTTCCCCTCTTGAAGAGTGATGATGAGCCTGTTCCTCTACATCTTCAGGTAGCCTGTACACGCAGGGCTGCAGGGAGGACACGGCAGACCCTGCCACCTCCTTTGGTCTGAGCCCAGCTGGGATGTCCTGGTCTCCAACACTGCTAACCTGCACCCCGGCCCCACAAAAGGGTGGTGAGGAAGCCTGCCAGCCCCACACCTTGGAGGAGGGCTGACAGCAGAGCCTGGCACCTGTGAGGGGGCTTCTTTTGGGGTAACAGCAGAGCTCCTCACACCCCATTGCCCTGCTAAGCCAGGCACAGGCAGCAGTCAGGGGGGCAGTGGGGCATCACACACCCCTCAGCACTCAGCTGGCGGGGAAGGGGGGCAGCCCAACCCCAAACAAAAGGCTATCGAGGAAGATGCATTCCTCAGCAAGGTGCCTCTGCCAGGCCTGCTCCCCAAGGTGCTCCAGCCCCCAGCGCAGGGCAGGGGCCCGCGCTCCCAGACACTTAAGCAACCCTGGAACAACAGCGCCCTTGTTCCCGGCGCAGTAAACAAGCTGCCCCGGGAGCCACATGCCTCCCCTTGTGCTCCCACTTCCCGATGAGTCAGCTCACGCCGCAGGGGAACGGGGCCAAAGCCACTGGAACGGGCACGTGATCCCCCTCGCCTGGCAGCCACTGCTGCACCGGGCAAGTGAGCTGCAGGCGGGGAAGGACCCGCAGAGCCAAACACTTTGCTGCCCATACGGGATTGCTCTCGTGCCTCCCCATGCCTGGCTAGCTTTCCCCGTCCGGCAGCCGCTGGAGCCAGCCTGGGACAACACCCCAGCATGGTAGGGCAGGGACTTTTCTTCACAAAGTCAAATGGGGTATGGGAGAAGACGAGCAGGCTGGGGAAAGGAGAGAGCCCCTGGCAGAGCTGAGGGCATAATTTCCCCACAGCACCAGGCAGAGAGAAGATGGAAATCTCCAAGAGCAGTGGACACACACCTGAGCCCTGTGCTGGCTTCTGTGTTGGAGCAGCAGCATCCCAGGTGGCGGTGAGGCCAGGCTGGGGAGGCCCACGCCAGTACTCCTCTTCCTCTGCTGAGGAAGAAGATGAGAAGTGAGGTCCAGCCCACAGTCCCATGCAGAGATGCCCACCCAAGGTTTTCCTGTGCTGGGTGCCCCTGCACCCACAGCCGTGAGAGAGCACATGGGAAGGGGCCACAGGGTGGCTGCAGCAACCTCATCATCTTGTTATTTAACACAGCCTCCTCCACCTCGCTGGAGCCACCACTTCTCCGTACCCCTACAGCCCCACATCAGCCACTACAGTGTGGTGGGTGTCCCCCATGCCACCCCACAGACAGCCCAGCTGGGAGCCTGTCCTGCCCAGCCCTGGGGGTTGCTGTGCATGAGAGGTGGCTCCCAGACTCCCTGCTCTCCTCCCTCTTATCTGCCCCGTCCTCTCCCCACAACCACCCTGCCCTTCCACTGTACGGGTGCTCACCTCTGTGCGTGGCAGGCTCTGTGGTGGCATCAGCAGCGCCCTGATGGACAGAAACATAGCACTGCCTCTATCCACATGCATGTAGCTGGGATGCAGCATCCCTGAGACATTTTCCCACCCACCTCCCGGCTCCTCTTGCTCCCCAAGGCACTGTGCTGGGAGGAGAAGCTGCCATGGCTGGGCGCAGCTCGCAGGGCCACTCTGTCCTGAGCAAGACTCAGCTCCTAGCCATGCTCAAGGGCTACCTGCAGAGGAGCCGTGCCAGCACACCACGTGGGTGAGACCCTGGGCACTGCCATAGGGAAGGTCTCTGCAAGATGGCCAGGAAGAGCAGTCGGACCCAGTAAATCCTGCCACTGTCACTGGTGGCTCTGGAGGGCTGAGAACAACCACTGCTTCAGCCTGCCTCAGAGCACTACCGACTCAAGGGTGCTTGGTTCTCAGTGCTCTTTCTCAGCGTCCCCTCATGGCAAACCCATGTCTGCCAAAGCAGACATTGGAGCACTACCTGGGTCTCCGCTCTAAGGAACTTTCCACAACAGATGAAGAAAACAGGTGGCTGAGCAACACAAGTCCCAGCCTAGCTCTCCTTCAAACTTGGAAGCTTTGGTTCAAATTTTTTCCCTGTTTTGAGATTTCTCACATGTCGCTGGGCACGTCACTTTATGTCTATGAAGCAGTGGCAATGGCAGTGCTGTCCCCTCTCTCAGAGGGGCTGGAAGTATGTTCTGAGGACTGGGCTGCTATAGCAAGGGGGGCACAGAGATGCTCAGGAGAGATATGGCCCAACCTCTACTGACAGCAGGGATCAAGAGACACACATTTTTCAGGCAAGACTCATAATAAACTGAGCCCCAGGACAGGCTGGCAGAGAAACAGTCCTCAGGATGCTCCCATCAGACAGGGTGAATTCACACAGCCAGTGTGGGAGACCCCCACCCCAACTGCTCCAGCGGGGTTACTGCTGCACCCACACCAGCACAAGGAGACCTGCCTGTGAGCTGGGCTTGAACATAACACTGGTCTCCACGAGAGGAGTGCTACTTGAGCTGTCTGCAGTGGTTCCCCTTCCCCTGCTCCCCGCCTGGTCCCGCAGCCAGGCCAGGCTGATAGTAGCCTGGGCTCCTACCCAGCCCCAGCAAATGCCAGCTGGAGTCAACACGGACCATGAACTAGTGCAGCAGAGATCCCAGCTCCGGTTGGTTTGAGCTAATGGCCTCTCAGCAAGGACTTAGTGGGCATGCGGAGCAGTGTCTTCAGCCACAGCAACTCAGACAAGGTGGTAGGGTTCATAAGTTCATAAGCTGTTCTCTCCAGCAGCAGCTCCTTGCTCTCTTCAGTGCTGTCTCTGACCACACTTCACACCTCCCTGTCACCTATTTGTATTACATCCCCCTTCCTGTCTGTCAGGCTGCTGTGGATGCATCCAGATGTAGCAAGACAAACTTTACTCACCTGTGCAGCAAGAGAAACTTCACCTGGAAAGTGAAACAGTGCATAGTTAGCAGGGACAAGGCAGGCAGGCATCCTCCTCAAACCCTGTCTGCCCTAACTTCACCCCACCTCTAAGACACTGCCTCTCAGTCCCTCATGGTCCTTCGCAACAGCTTGTTCCCAAAGCCAACACACTCGGACTCCTCTCCTGTCACTGTGCAGACCCCAGGACCTTCTGCTTATGCAGGTGCTGGCAAAAGCAGTCAGTCACACTCCTCTCCAGCTGGGCTGGACAAAAACCCAAAGATGCAGTGCCAGGGCCGCCATGCAGACCAGAGGTCCTCGTGGATGCAGCCTGGTATGCCAGCACCAACTGCAAAGATGTGGTCGCAGGAGCCTGAAACACTCAACCTCCTCTCCAAAGGCTTGAAGACATGGTGTCTCAGGCCCCAGGAACACTGGTAGGGCTGAAGAACACCTTGCACCTTTCTACACAGTTGTAGAAAGCCCTTATCACCTGGAAGTCCATCCATGGAGGCATGGCAGGACCTAGGAATTTGCCCACCCTTGCTGGGGGCCCAGATGAAGCAGCTTTAAGCAGTAGACCCCACACTACCCTCTCCTGCCAATGTGCCAGGGTGGGGGAATGCCTCCAGGACGCTCCCACGTAGGCTGTCCTGAAGTTGCTGTCTCTTTGCTGCCCAGTCCAACGTCCAGTTGCTATTCTCCCCTTGCTCTTCCAAGCTGAGGGGCAGCTCTTCTGCCTCTGCCTTCCTCATTGACAGGCGGATATCAGAGCTGGAGTAGGTGTACCCATGTCCTGCTGGGCAAATCTCCTTGAAGGCTTCTGTGAAGGAAAATCAAATCAAAGCTTTAGAGGCCAGAGGTTGGAAGAAAGAGAGTGGCGCAGGAATCACAAGTAGAAAAAAATGGCTTACAGCACCCAGACGCGATGGTGGGACAAGTGGAAGGAGTGAAGACGGACAGGTATGTATATGGATGCACATACCAGTTTCTCCCATACTGTAATTTTCTGGAGATTTCTAAAGGTTAAATCTAAGGGTTAAGACACATCTGGGCTGCAGTGGGTGGATGCTTTGAGCAGAAGGAATCTGCTCAGCAGACATGGTGGGTTTCTAACAGGCACTGGCTGGTACTCTCAGACACAAAAAACTGCATCCCTCCCCTGACTCGGTACTCTTAGGAAAGGGATCATGATACAGGAAGGTCCACGCTGAGCAAGGGAGGAGATGAAAACAAACCTCTGGTACCCCAGCACTGAGCACTTTGCACATCACTCAAGATGCTCTGCACAAACCACCTGAAGATTCTTCCCAGCCCTGAGGATTTCTGCACTTTCCACCCTACCCCATGCTGAGACATGCCAAACTCATCCTCACCTGGCTTTCACCCCAGCAGAAGGTGTAAAAAAGACAAAAGGGCTGTCAAGCAAAACCAGGCATAGACATGGCTACTGGTTTCCCATCAGGGACTTCTCTGTCCTCCCAGTATTATCCAGGTCTGCTCCCTGGGTTGCTGTACCCATCTCACAGGCTAGCATTTGTACCACTCAGTTCTGGGTCCTGCAGCCATCTGCGTGGCAGCAAGCTCAGGAAAGCCTAAGCCCCAGTCTAACCAAGGCAGGCAAAGCCAAAGCGGACAACGTCTCACCTGAGCCGGGCATGGGGCACTCCTCGCAGTTCTTCCCCCAGCCCTTGCCAACACGGCTGCAGCAGCAGATCTGCTGGGTGATGTGGTGGGAGAGGGGGAAGGAGCACACGCCTCCAGCTGCAGAGCGGTAACACAGCCCCTGCTCCATCGACACCGCTTTGTCCGCTGAAACACAACGGCAGGATCAGTGACCAAGGTCAAGCTATACACTCTCCAAAAGAGAGAACTGGGGACTCTCAGGCTCTCCCCCTCAGGCTTTTCTTTGCCCATGCCTCCCAGCCTGTCCTGAGGGCTGCCCCATCCTCTCCCCAGAACATCCCAGCCTTTCAGCCATCGAGCCATCCCCCCCAGCAGCACTAGCCCCAAGTGAATACAGCTCCTGTGGGAGCTTTCTCAACCCAGGAGGCTGTGTCCTCTGCTGCTGCACTGCAGGCATGTCTCTCCCCGGTATCCACAGGGGCCATGAGCTTTCCATGGAGAAAAATGATGGTCCGAGGCATGGGGAACCCATCTGGTACACGAGTGCAAGAAGCACGGTGCAGCCTCCATTCAGCTGTGGGGTTCTGCTCAGGCCCCTTCCCAAACTGAGAGGTTCCCTGGAGCACTTACAGATGCAGTGGCTACGGGATGGGTCCAGCATGGTGCCAGGCTTGCAGGTGCAGCGGAAGCTGCCACGAGTGTTCACACACTCGGCATCTTTGCACAGGCCCTGCATCAAGCACTCATTGATATCTGTGGAGAGGAGAGAGCCCAGTAAGATGTGGGGAAGTTGAGGCTGAACTGAACCCCCTAGCAAGGGCCTCCCGTTCAGGTGCCGCGGACCAAGGGAGTCTCAGCCAGGCTGGAGTCCAAGGCAGTCCTCTGCACTGAGCAGCACAGCGGGGACCTCTGCAGTGACAGCAGTCCTACATCTGCGGCACAGAGCTTGCTCGTTGCAGCTGCAGCTATGGCTCGTGAATGACTGCTCTGCTCTGCAGTCTTCATGGAAAACAGATGTGGCTGTTCTGGTGAGCTGCCCTGGCAGGGTCACTCTTATGGCCATCAGGGTCATTGTTTGTAAGCCTGGACTGGCAAGTCCTGTCCTTTCACCTTCACTCATCCCCTGGTCCTGCTCGTCTGGAGCTGTCATCCACAAGGTTCCTTGCTGAGAAACTCAGTGCCAGCATGCAGGGAGGGCACTGACTGATCCCCTCCAGAGGCCAAGGGATGGTGAGCCAGGCTGTGGCTCACTGCTGCAGCGTCTTCTTCTGAGAACAGGTCGAGCAAGCGGAAAGATGTCTCAAGCTCTGCCTCTGCCCCTGACTCAGCATGCAACAACAGATGCAGTCTTCGGGAAAGGAGCTGGGCTCATCCCAGGGAAACACTGTTGGTCTCAACCATTTGGCCTGTAGTAAAGCCTTTCCCACAGCACCATGCTGGAATGTATGAGCTAAGCCAGAAAAGACAGGGACTGGCAAAAGTTGCATAAGTGGGAACTGAGGGCAGCTTTCACAGTGGAGAGTGGAAGCCCTTCTCATCCATTGATCCAGCTTTATATCTTCACTAATGGCCTTGGCCCAGAAAACTATGTATGCTGATGAAATATGGTGTCAGGAGGCACAAACAGTGCAGGAAGACCTGGCGGGGAGCATGCAGCAGGAGGAGTGGGATGAACCTCAGCGCTGGCCCAGGACAAATCACAGGAACATATGCTACAAGCTAAGAGGTGGGAGCGGACAGTGAGAAGAACTTGAGCACACTCACTGCTTACAGGACAGCTGTGAGCTGCCAAGGCCAAGAAATGCCAGCGTGATGCTAGGCAGCATCATGCCAAAGGCTTTCCAAAGACACAGGACAGTCCTAATGTCAGCATACAAGGCCCTGATGAGATCTCAGGTGCCCTGAGAGCACCCAGTGGTGCTCTAGAGACTGCCTCAAGGTGGAAGAGGTGCAGAGGCAGGATGCTGGGACACTCAGAAAAATGTAGATAGAGGAAGAGAGAGAGCAGACAGAGTCAGGAACAGCTTTCCCAGCACTACCTTATTCCTCAGAGCTGAAGCGTCACTGCTTGGTGGAAGTGGGGGTGTCACACAGCCGGCTATCAGCTGGAGTTCAGACTTAACCTCAGAGGTCTTCCCCAGTCCTGTGCTCTTAAACTCCCCCATTCACCCCACCAGCTGCCCCATACATGGTTGAGACACACAGGGACTGTCAAGACCAGGCCATGACGTTCAGTCAGTTGGAAGTACTAGTGGTACAGGGACGTGCAGCAGGCCAGGGAGGAGTAGGAATTGGCTGTGTAATGTAACGGTTTCCTGCTCCATGCCAAGCACAGGACAGAGTTAATGAGAAAAAAAAGTAGCCAGACCCCAAATGTGCTGAGAACCTCACTCAGAGAAGCGCTTGGGCTCTTCAGAGGAGCACTGAGGCTCATCCTTGTCACTCCCTGGCATGGTTGGAGCACAGTGTCATTCCAACACACCAACTGGATGAAGCGTTTGGCCTCCACATAAGCAAAGGGATTGAAGGGATTAGAGTAATGAGAACACAAAACAAACAAGCACCAAAGGCTGGGCTTCATAAGCTTAATTTAAAACAGGGCCACATCCCAGCTTCAGTCCAACCCCCTCTATTCCACTGGCAGCAAAAGACCCCCTGCAGTGGAAATCCCCACAGGGAACAGAAGCAGGCAGGCGCGCTCGGGGCCATGCACTCCTACCCCCTGCAGCATGCCAGGGACGGGGCTGGCCCACAAGAGGCCTCAGGGACCACAAACCGAGATCCTTACGCTGTCTCAGCTGCTTCCTCCCTCCCCACACAAGCCCGCAAGTTCTCCTCAGATATGGCCACGCTGGGTCAGGCAACCTGTGGTGGAAAGGTGCAGGCTGGTTTACCCCGGTGCTTGGTGAGCAGAATGGACCTGAGTCAGCAACAGACACCAAGTGTGTACGGACACCAAGGACAGATGGACACCAAGGACAGATGGACACCAAGGTGCTGGTGTGTGTCCTGTGCAGTGACTCCTGTGCATGCACACCTCCCTACCACTCTCTCCAGGCCCCCCAGCCTGCAGCCTCTAAGACAGTCTTTGCTTCATGCCTAGCAACTCTGTTATCCCTTCCAGGGCCATCCTTCTTGCTGGACCCCGCAGCACTGGGAGCTTCCCTGGCTGGGTCTGCCAGGCACTCTCAACTCAGACTGTTTGCAGCCTTGCTCCTGCTCAATGGGATGTGGGAAGGGGAAGGGGAAGGGGAAAGGGAAGGGGAAGGGAGATCTTGCAGAGATCTCTTGCAGAACCATTTGCTCCTCTGATGAAAGGCACCAGAGACAACCCTTTCTGTCCATACAGAACAGAGGAAGGTGGGCTCCTGCCAGGGCCCTCCTCCAGTTGCCCACCTGTGCTTTGACAACAGCCTCAACAGCCTGCAAAGCGAGAGCTCAGCTACTCTCCTACAGCCAATGGCCTCAGTAACCACTGTCCCTCATCCAGCTCCTTAGCTTCCCTCCTACCTGGGCTGGCAAGAGAAGACCTTGTGCAGCCTCTGCTACAGTCTATCAGTCACATTGCTCACTCTGGACCCTAAGTGACTGTGCTGGACTTCCCGACACACATCCCACTGCAACAGCAGAGGTGGGAAAAGCACCTCAAGGCAGCAGACTGTCTGCACAACAGTACTTCTTCAGCCCAGCTTACAAAGGACAGAGGCACAAATCTCTGGTTTATGGCTTTTTCTGTGCAAAAACATTTTCCTAGCCAACTCCACATTGCCATCTCCCTCTGCTTCTCTGAGCCGCTCCCTGCTCCAGAGGGGACGCAAATCCAGAGCAGGCACTGCAGGTCTCTGCTTGCTGACATGAGTCCCTCCAGCTGCTCTGCTCCTCTGACTCCTATTCCATGTCTCCGGGTAGCTTCTCATACCCGTAGCACTGTCTGTGGCTGCATAAGGGATGAGATCTGAGCACCAAGGAGAATAGAAGCTGTTGCCTTGTTGAAAGTTCTCCCCCAGGACAATGTGGGGAGGTTGAATCATTAATTAAGCAAGCATGGTGGAAAGTCCCAGCTAAAACAGATGAGTCATTGGATTGCCAGCCCTGGGTTTGCATGGCCGGGACCCAGGCTCCCTGCTGCATCTTCGAGATGACACCTCTCAGCTTATCATGAATCATGAGAAGGGAACCATAAAATTCCACTTAAGTCAGTGCACGGAAAAACACAAGTACTGTGGGTCCAAGAGATGCCAAATAAACATGAACTGGAGAGAAAAGCAGAGAGATGGCGCCTTCCTCATATGGAGTTGAGGGATTGCAGGAGTGAGAAATGGATAGACCCCAGCAGTGTGGGATAGGCAGGGCAGCCTGACAGCATGGACAAGCGACACGCTCAGAACAGAAGGACTCACTTTTACAGCACCCTCCCACTTGAAAATGAACAACTGAACAAGCTGACAACAATCCCAAATGACAGTAAGTGTTTTTACACTCGCACGTAGCAGAGCAGCAGCATGGGTCCTTACTGGGTCAGAAGGACTTAGTAGGTGAGTTTTCTTGTGCTGGCCCAACTATGCGCTGACTGTGCTTATCAGATGAGTCATGTAGTCCAGTGTTACCTGGGGTTTTTTTATTCTCGATGAAAGCACAGGGGTTTTTATAAGTCACCCTCTTTGTAGATCTGTACCATGGAGTTAGATTACTGTGTTTCACTTGCGTAAATAATTACAGTTATGACAGTTGATGTGGGAAGAGAAGGGAAGGAAGAGAGAGATGAAAGCAGCATCCTTACCTTGGCAGTGGCTCCGGTTCAGCCTCTTGTATCCCTGGGGACACTCCACCTGCCCATTCTCAATCACAGGGTGTGCTGGGAAGAGAGCAAACAGTGCGGGATGTTGGCAGTAGAGCCAGCCACCAGCGACCTACCTTCTCTCTGCCCTCCTTGCGGAAGAGAGACGGGTCCCTAGGTCTGCCTTGGACAAGCCTGGGATGATTCCCAGGACAGAGGGAAAGGCGGGAGCAGCCACATTTCCCAAGCATTATCTTCTGCCCCTTGGCAAGTGCCAGCCTGGTGACCCAGAGGTGCTGCCTGTGCTTCATATCTATCACCGTGTCACCTTGGCTTCCCCCACGCCAGCTTGGATGGCCAGGCGGCACACGATAAGGGGGACCAGAGTGCAAGGAATGACAGAGGTCCTTCACAAGATGCTGAAATAACAGCCCAGGGCCTGTTTATTACTTTTAGCCATTTTCTACTGCATGTGATTTCCTGCCCTGACCACTCTCATAAAAGAAAATTTCAAATTGCTGTGTAAAATAATTCTGTGGGTTTCAAAATGGCCTAAAACCCATGCAATTACATCTCTCCAATTTTTTAAAAATGTGGCCCATAAATTCCAAGGAGGTCAAATTTAGACACCATATTTTGGAGCAAGGGAAAGGGAATCGGGGAGGTAATGTGTTGGGAAGTGAGTAAGCACAGGGTGGGGTAGGAAGAAGGGTGCTTTGCCTAAGGATGGGATTTTCCCAGGGTGGGGTTTCTTTTTAATTTTCTGGACCATACACTTGGAAACAAGAAGTGTGTGTAACAGCTAAGTGACAGTTCAGCCGTATTCCTACTATGCGAATTCCTCCTGCCTGGCATCCGTACCTCACACCCTGGTGTCATACATTGAAAGCCCCCCATGGCAACAGCCATATCGAGGACCTAGCAGATTCCTAACACATTGCAGCTTTTGAGAACCAGGGACAAATTGAGACCATCCCTGAGGCAGGAGATGGTTGGAAAGAGCCTACAAAGGTTAAGAAAACAAACAACGCACGGAGGGCAGAAAACAGGCATGTACATAACCCTTTGTCCTGGACACTTTTACCCTGTAATGCAATTTAAAGCCATTCTAGGACACTTCTTGAAAGGCAAAAGTTAGAGAGCAACCTCATAGGATAAAGGCGCTTGGGAAATAAAGCACAGGAGAACAACAAGCCATTCACCAGCCTGTACCAGGAAGGAGAATAGAAAGCCTGCTTTCCCCAGGTGTATTAAACAAAGCTACATGGTCTTCTGGATGCAGAGAGATCCTCAGTGGCTGGATGAATGACTAAGATGAAAAATCTACTCACTCCTTTCAACAGTTCAGTCACGAATTGTAAGCAGGAGGTGCCTACAGATATCTGGACGTTAGGGGCGAGGGGGTTTCTGGTGATACTGGGAATCACTGGGTGCATTTCCAACCTTCTGGGAAGGAAAAACAACCTCTGGCTCACAGGCTCCAGGCTCAGCACAGTGGTGGGATTCCATGTCCTCCCACATTGCAGCCTGTGGGCTCAGGACTGCTGACAGGCATTAACTGTGCTTGGAAGCATCTGTCAGCCTCAGCACGATGTGATAACAGACACTCAAATGAAGCAGCATCGTTATGTGTGAGTCCTCCGACAGGGAGCCAAGCATGCCAGAGATCAAACAGTGATGACATGTGTCAGAGCCCCGCTCTCTCTCTGAAAAGCCTTTGCAGAGAAACAGATCCTGCAGCATCCCTCTGCCAGATGCTGCTGAGGAAAGGGCAAAACAGAAAATACCAGTGATGGGGGGTGAGCGTGCAGGTCTCGTGCCACCTCAGCACTCGTACGACTCCAGTCTGCAGAAACCTGCGGCTCGTTACTGCAGCAAATCACTTGTAAGGCTGAGGACAAATGTCTTAATTTTGCAAAGAAACTTGTGTTCCCTGGAAAGAAAAACTGTAATGTAATGTGAGCAGACCTCTCTGTACCAAGGGGAACCAAGACAGTTTCTGAAGTACTGGATGGAGGCTGCTCTCTTTCTGCCAGGACCTGGCCGCAAGGGAAGACAGTGTGTGGCTGCAGAAGGATGTAAGCTATTAACTCTCAGCTTTGTACTTGGTTGCTCAAGCAGAGGACCATTTCCTTCCACAAACTCTGATGTTGCCGAACTACAGCAGAGACAGCCAAAAAACCCTGAAAAACCATCTTAGGACATCTGAGTTTCCTGCAAAGGGCATCAGCATCCATCTCTCTCCCATGCAGCTGGTAGGAGTGGAAGGCCACTCCTCTGGAACCCAGCAAAGAGTAATGCCTGGGAAAAAGCCAAAAAAGCCAAGTGGATGATTGGAGAGAGCAGAAATCTGTCAGCAGCCACAGTCAGAGGGGTTCTAGCCTCCTGTGTCTGTCTGTCTGTCTGTCTGCACTCTCTCCAGGAAGGGGTGCTCCCGGAGCCTCCAGCTGGGGATGGAGCAGCTGAGCTGCATCAATCAGGCAGAGAGATTTCAGGCTTGCTGAGGGTGTGATTTCGGAGCTTCACCTCCTGGGTGCTTCAGCCCCATGGGCGCTGCACCAAAGCGATGTGCTCACCAGGTACCTGCCTACCAGGACTGCCTCTTGGCTCTCCCCATTGCTCCCTCCAGCTTGGCTTCAGCCCACCGCCCAGTGCTGCTTTCTGCAAGATCTGCAGGCACCAGGCATCCCCCGGTGGGGCCAGGCTCTCACAGGGGAGCACGTGTGCAATAAGCTCACAGATCTAGAAGGGAGGAGGTGAGCACCAAGCTGCCACAGCCCAGGACTCCCACCAGCACCTCCGTCCCCAGCTTGAACAATACTCGAGCACAGCAGAATGAGAAGGGAAATGAATGCACAGAAATCAGGCAGAGGGGGTTTGCAGCCTAGCAGGATGATCTTTAAGCAGCCAGGCACGCTTCAGAAGTTGTCCATCACTTCCCAGAAGAGGCTTTAACCAAGGGCCGTGGCTCCCCAAACACTGTCTGAGACTGGATGAAGAAGCTCAGGCTGATGATGAAGTGAAAAGAAACCAGTTCTAGTGGTGGTAGTTGCAAGGGCCTGAGTGAGGCAAGGTTTGTAGAGTAAGATAATATATAGCCTTAGGCCAGCCAATATCACTCTGTTAAAAGGGGAAGAGGCAAGCCTGCGGTCAGATGAGAAGTGAGGAAATGCTTGGCTGCTGAAAGCTAGCCCATTTCTTTCAACTCTTTCCATTTATCGTGCAAAAGGGATTATCTATCTGAGAAGCCTTGCCTTGCTGAACTCCTTTGCCACTTTCAGGACTCACAGATGTTTCTGGAAACTCTGGACCACTCCACAGAAGAACCTGAGCCCTGGCTGGACGCTGGGCATCTTCCGATGCCCACAGTGGGCACAGAGCATGCAGTTGTGAGGGTGACTGTGGTGCCTCTGCTTGCTCTGGGTTCTCTAGTGTGTGGGAGATGAAAGAAGTCAGAGTGCTCAGTTTTGTGGCATTTGGAGTAGTGGGGGGTGGTGGACCCAGTCAAACTTCAGCTTGCTTTAGTGTGAAGCAGAGAAGATCAGCCTCCCCTGCAGAGAGGACCTCAGATGCTGAACTTGCTGGCAGAAAAGCAGAGCAGGTCTGACCCCACAGCAGCCTCCAGAGAAAAAACATATTGAAGATGCCAGATCAAGAAGCAGGCAGGGCTGAGGCTGTGGGGATAAGCTGAATTCCCAGGCAGAATGGACAAGAGGGAAAGGACATGAATCTTTCAGTCCAGATCTGTCACAATCACTCTCTCCTCCGGGTGGTCCATGGCAGGCAGGCTCCCACAAGACTTTCTCCAATGCCCCAACAAAGACTACAGTAGCAGTGGCGAGGAGAGCATGCACCAGTGCTGGTGCGCAATACGGAACTAAGCCCTCTGCCCTACTCACGGTCAATAAAGATCTTCAAGGTGAAAAAGATGCTTTAAGGAAAAAAAAGACTCTGGTAATTACTGTTGGCTTTTGGGGTGATTTCAACAGAGAGAACCTCATTCTGCTCCCACGGTGGCTTCCAGCTGGGACAAGATACCTCTGTACCTAAAAACTCCCACTTTTGCAACACTGTGCTGCTGTGCGCCAAGATCACGATGCTGCACATGAAAGATGGGCAAAACAAGCACTCTGCAGAACAAGGCAGTCCTGAAAATGCTGTGCTTTCCCAGGTATTACTCTCTGTGGTACTGCAACAATCTTGCAGAGGTTTCAGCTTCTTTCTCCACCTCCAGCCCTTCTTTACTGTCTCAGACAGACTCCTTGTGGCACATGGTGTAACAGGGGCAGAACCACCCCTCTCCATAGCCTTCTTCCCAGATTTCCAGGTTTTTTTCCCCTGTATCCTCCCTGATCTGATCACAAGAGCAGACCAGGGGGGTTGATTTTCAAGGGGCCTCCTGTAGCTGTTTCAACGCCTGCAGGCACCATGCAGGGGAGTGTGCGGCTTGCAGAGCCGCTCAGTGTTTCTGGTGACGACTGCTCCATGGGTGAGCTGCCACCCCTCTCGCAGTGGGAGGTCTGTTTGGGGAGTGCTGCAGATGCCAAACCAGACATTACAAGATCCAACTTTCCAGTGAAATTCAGACTTTTCTCTAGGACAAAAAACTTGAAAAAACATGGGGAGTGGGAATAAAAACAAAACAATAGCCTTCAAAGACTTGTTTCTTAATGCAGTTAAAACCCATAGGCAGGAGGAGAGAAAGCAGCCCAGGAAGATCTGCAGTGAGCACAGCCAGTGGGTGTGCAGCCCAGCCCACGCTCGGGCTGACTGCAGCCTGAAGTAAGGGACAGTGGGCAGTGAAAACCCAAGACCTGGAAGATGTAGGTCTACTGCTGCAGCCAGAAAGTCCCTCAAACTCTCACAGAAAGGTGGTGAGACTTGTAGCTCCTGCACAGTAGAGGAGAGGGTGTCCAACACCAGTATGGGCTTCACTTGAGTGCTGCTGGTCACAGAGCTGTGTGGTCTCAGGGACAGGGAGGAGTTGGAAGAGGAGGGCTGTGACCTGCTCTGGGCAGAGCGCCTCGCCTTGCCTTCAGACAAAAATCTCTCTGCTACCAGCTTCTTTTAGCCGCGCATGCCTGAGGAGGGCCAAGGCTTCAGGGAAACCAGTGTCCAAATCCACACCCTCCCTGGGGTCTGTGTCGACCTGCAGCTGGGGTCTTGTTAGTTTTAGTTTCCACAGAATATGTCTTGACCTTGTTCCAGCATCTTCTTCTCCACAGACCACTGTATACCCCAGAATAGTATATGGTCTGGCAGGTAAGCAGGAGTAGCTCTGCCCAGCAGTGTGCCTGCTACTAGTCCCACATCCTGAGCTTGCCTTAGGACAGGACATTGCTTCAGTGCAGCTTCCTCACCAGCACTGCTCAAATACCCTGACAGTCCTTCAGCTTCCTCCCAGCCATGTCTCTACTTCAGCTGCTTCCTCAGCCTCTGATTCCCTTTTCCCACTATCAGTCTTTTCCGAGTTTTACTTTCCAGCTCCCATATCCTCCTACCTCTCTGTTTTAGCCTTTCAGTGTGTGCTCCAGCACCTCCTCCGAGTACTAGAGACCCAGGAGGGTTATTGGATGTCTCCATCTGATTTATCCTATCTTGCAAGGCAGCACATTTCATCCAGCCATCTCCAGCTGGAGCTGAAGGACTGCAGCTGCATGACAGCATGCAAGCATCCTGCCACTCTCCAGGGCCCTGCCTCTGGCTCATCTCTTTATTTCATGGGTTGGGTGACAGCCTTTAGCTCCCAAAAGCTCATGGAGCAACCTGTCAACTCTCCCCCTTTTTCCAGGGCTGTCTCTGACATATCCTGGGGATCTCATCTTCAGCTCTCACTTACATAAGCAACAGCAAACTCCCAGTGACTTCTGCTATAGCTTGCTTGAATACCCATCTCTGTGCCTACTTCTCTAAAGGGGCCTAAAAATATACACCTTCCCAGCAGCAAACCAGACAGCCAGAACTCCAAGCAGAGCCTAAGGAAACCTCCGAGACTAATGTAACACCCACTACAGAGAGATCTGGCCAGGTCAGCCCCACTCCCATCTTAATTCTGAACTCGGCTTTTAACGTAAGTCTCCTTAGGATGCAGACAAAGCATTCAAGTGCCTTGCCTTTTCTAATGCTGAGCAAAACACAAAAAATAGTGTGGATTGGTCATGGCAGGTTCACTCGGACAGATGTCTGCCTCCGATTCTTCTTCTTCTCTGATGTCTTTCCGCACACAAACATGTAGCAAACATGAAAGCTGCAGTCGACAGAGACATCCGGACGTATCCAGACTCTACTAACAATCAGCGTCTCGGGCAGACAGTCAATCCAAACAAGTTCTCCATTTGTCTAGCTCTTGCCTGGCTGCACTTCTGTACATTTGTAAGTGTTTACACTGAACTAGCTTCTGCCATTTCTGTCTCTGGTTGCCGGAATTAAATTCCCAGAGCTGTCAAGTCTGCTCTGGTGCATGCCTCCCCGGGACACACGAGCGCAAGAAGTTCTCTCCAAAGACTACAGTGCCAAGAAGAAAGCTGGAAACATCCACTGGACATGTTATCTCTGTGCACAAGACACCGAGTCATTGAACTACAGCCCAGTGACTTTGAGTGAGCACAACACAGGCCAGCAAGACAAGGAGACAGAAGGGATGTGAGTGTAGGATGTGGTCTACAGGCAGGAACGATATGGCATGATGCCTTCACACTGGACAGGCACAGACCTGGGAGTCATGGCAGAGGAGGCATGGGGTGATGAGAGGTCACAATACTCAACGGCTCCGTTAGAGCAATAAGACCATGGAAAAAGGACTGTTTCCAGGGTTCCACTCTGGGGTGAGATCTCTTGTGTGCGAAGACAGCACACAAGAGAAGCATGCCAGCCACCTGGGCTTCTCACTTCGGCCAGGCTCTCTTAGGCTGCCTCCATCGAGTGTCTGCCTTACAGCTCCCTTCACTTGCACTGTGTGGTCTCCTGCATGTGGGGCTGGTTACAGGGCAGTCAATCAGAGGTAGCCAAAGGAGGAAGATACTTGCACACGATTAAAGGGGATGAAAACGGCCCCTTCCACTAGACTGAATTCCTGCCAAAATCAACAAGAGCCTTTTGGTCTCTGAGGGGGAACTTTATCGTCCAAAGACAGAGGGAATGGGAATGGGATTTTCTTGTGGCACAGGAAGAGAGAAGACCCACAGGGATACATTTTTCATAACCCCATGGAATTAATCTGAAAAAAAGTCAGACAAGCATCTGTTCACTCAATGAAGACCAGCAGTGACAACCTCCCTTGAGTTTCAGCTGCTGCTGGAACACAGGGCATGTGCTGAGCTGTGGAAGTGGGACCTGCTGGCAGCTAGGAGGCATTTCTTAAGTGCATTTGCTCTACTGGCTGGCTGGCTGCAAGGAGCACATGGGGGTATTTTGTGCCTGTTTTCATGTCTTGTAAGCCTGTGATTAGAGGTGCATTTTGAAGCCTGAAGATCTAAGTCCAGCAGAGCAATCACTGCTGCAGCTCTGGCTGCTGAGCGCTACGTAGCATCCCAGCACAGAGAAAAAGAAAGGAGGTGCTGAGATTTTGTAGCTATCTGCAGCATAACTGAAGTGTTAAACGGCCCCCCTTCTTCCTAATGGGGGGATCACAGAGAGACAGGGTGAGAAACAGGGAGACTGCTGTCAAATGGGGAGGAGAAAGTTGTAACCGGGGATGTGAAGGTCAGAGACAAAGAGGAGTGGGCTGAGGCCTGTGTGGGGCATTTCCTTGTTTGCGCTGAACCTGGAGACCCCATGGTCACCTCCATACCGCATGTGCCCAAAGCTCCTTTGGGGCTGGCACACGGATGAGGGCAGGCAAGCAGCAGCGTGGCCCAGGGCCACAGCAGAGCTGTGCAGAGTGGGAAAATGACAGCAATCAGAGCTCCCCAGATCTGTGCTGGCTTCCAGGATGCTGACGGCCTCGTCTGTGATTGTGAGGAATTTGGCTCCAGGCAGCTCTACCCCTGGCTGAGGAGGAACGGAATCAAGGGAGGATGAGATGCAAACAGCACTTGGGAGCATGCGTGCAAGCGAGAGAGACAAGCTCTGGGCAGAGCTAGAAGGCACCAACACCACACCTGCATAAAACCTGCTGCCTTGGAGACCTCTGCTCTCCTTAGGAGTTAAAGGCTCCCAGACCACTGGGTCTGTTTAATTTAGTCATATATAGTGAAGGCATGTGAACGAGCAGTCAGGCAGTGACAAAAGAGGACAGGCAGGCAGAGGAGAGGTGAGCAGCTCCCTGTCTGCACTGCATGGGATGTTTGCACCTTGCCCTACACCAGACTGGGTCAGCACCAGCTGCCAGAGCTGCTGTACCCACGGGGCTGCCTCTCCCAGCAGAGAGCCACAGTCTCTCCACCACGACATGGGACAGTGACTGTGGTGCAAGGGGCTGTGCCCATTACAGAACGCTCCAAGCAAAGTGGCCGAGGAATTCCCGTCTCCTGCTGGATCAGGTCATCCAGCTCCCGAGCGCAGCAGAAACGGAGCTGGACGCCAGTGCCCCTGGAATGGACTCCAGGTGCACTCCTGCCAATTGTTTGATGTAGTGTTATTTCCAGAGCCCCTGCCAAGCCCGTGTCAGGCCCAGAGCGAGCCCGTAACTCTATAGGGCCAAGTCTGCAGCCTCCTCCACCGATCTAGGACTGCACCTCCTATAAACCACGACCGCTCTTTTCCCATTTCTGCCTCTGAGTGGGGCTGGCACAGCCCAGCAGGACCCGCCAGCCACACTGCGGTTTTGCAGGGGCAGTTTGGGGAGGAACCACTGATCCCAGGGCAACACCCAAACAAGAGTGCTTCTCCCCGGTACACAGGCTGGGGCAGCAGCCAGCATGGCCCCGTGCACCGCTTCAGACACACTGCCCATCCCTGAGGGCCTTGGGCAAAGGAGAGCCACATGTCAGGGGACCTGTGGCCCATGTGTGGCAGCCCAACCATTTTTGCTTGCCAAGGGTGCGAGCCATCCCTTGCTCCATCCCCAGTGGCGGCAGCACTCACCTGGCCGGCGGGGACAGGCCAGGCACCGGTCCGCACCCCAGAAGAGCCCCACGCTGCCGCAGCAGTCCTCCAGCCTGGTCAGCCCTGGCAGGGGGTTGGTGCACTGCGGAGAGAGGACCAGAGGATTAGGCTTCTGCGGGACAGGGAGGGGACACGTGCCCAGCTCCTGGGGCCAGCTGGCATAGTGGCAGCAGAGCCAGCATGTGGGACGCCGGTTTGGGGCCAGAGGCTGGCACGGCCCTCCTGGCACAGTTCCCCACCGGGACACAGCAGGACCGGGGATGCGGTTTAAGACAGTAAACAGTCGTGCAGACAGAAAAACACAAGACTCTTTCGACTGCACCCCTTGGACGGGTGGGTGACATGAAACGGAGGAGATGAACCAGAGATGATATCACCTGGCAAAGGCCCCAGACCAGCCCCGTGCCGGGATGATTAGCTGGTGAAATGGGTGCATCACTCCAGCCCGGCAGGGAGTTTGCGGTCAGGCACTTTCCTCTGCTTAATGAGTCTCTCTTTCCTGCCCC